GCTCAGCTTTTCTGCATTGTCTTTTCATACCCTGAACTGCTGTTGATTTTCTCCAAGCTGATTTCTGTCTGGCAGTCTTCTTGCTGACTTTCACAGGAGCAATGTCATCAATGACATTCTTAACTTTTGAGTTAAAGGAATCAAGGAGAAGATCAACAGAGTCTGCAGAAATGCTTGGTGTTAAAGATATAGCCTCCATAAATAGCACACTAGTGTTCTCGTTAATGCATCTCTTTCTGACAGAGACAGATCTAGATTCAGTGGTAACAGAGATCAATATATTAAAGAAAATACAGAAGTGATCAGATAGTGCTACGTCCTTAATAACAATGGATGAAATGTTTAGACCTCTACTGATGATTAAATCTAGAGTATGTCCACAGTTGTGTGTGGGTTCATGCACATGCTGAATCAGGTCACAAGTGTTTAAAACAGTTATAATTTCTTTTGTAGTTTTGTTTTCTGCATTATCTATGTGAATAAAAATTCCCTGCAATAGCAAAACAGTCAAACTCTGAGGAAATCATTGATTGCATTTCTGTGAACTCTTCAACAAAGGCTGGAGAGTATTTTGGAGGCCTGTAAATAATGATAAACAGAATGCGTGGAGCACCTTTCCACACAATCCCTAGATATTCAAAAGACAAGTACTGACCAAATGACACTTGCTTGCATTGATAGACATCTTTAAATAGAGCAGCTACACCTCCACCTCTCCTAACAGTGTCACACGCCGGGCTTGAACTCGGGTCTCTACCACATGAGAAAACAAAACTCCACAAGGGGAGAAAACAAAACCAGAGAACAATTACAACCAAAGAAAGAAACTCAGGAAACCTTACTTGGGGTAGCTAGAGAGGCTTTAGCGAGACCAGGCAGGAGACACAGGGCGAAGACTCAAAAACCGAGTGAGGAACCAAGGGAAAAATACACCACTTAAATACACTGGGGAAAACAAGGCGCAGGTGACTTGGATAACGCTAAATAGGCCACACGAGGAAGAGCTAAGGCAGAGGAAAAAACAGGGGACCTCTAGAGGCACGGAGACAAACTACAGGAGGTAGGATACTGACAAACAGTCCTGCAAACACTCATGAAGGTAAAGTTAGGAGGGGCCGTTTCATTGAGGACCGTTGCACTGCAGCTGTCTTCTAGCCATGTTTCGTTTAGAAACATAAAATCCAGGTTGTTTGTGGTTAAGTCATTGATTAGAAATGATTTATTTTTTAGTGAGCGAATGTTAAAAAATGCTAACTTGATGGCATTGCATTTTGTCTCAACAGCAATATTAGTTTGATGCACAACAGGCCGCAGATTAGATAAGTCAGCCGTACGGCTTAAGAAGGCCTTAGACTTTCTATCACGTGATAAAACAGAAATAGAGAAAACTACAGGCACACTGGGTTCCCGCTTGTTCTGTAAACATTTGTGAATGTTGCTGCTATCATAGCGGGGACCTTTCTGCATTATCTATGTGAATATTAAAATCCCCTGCAATAGCAAAACAGTCAAACTCTGAGGAAATCATTGATAGCATTTCTGTGAACTCTTCAGCAAAGGCTGGAGAGTATTTTGGAGGCCTGTAAATAATAATAAACAGAATGCGTGGAGCACCTTTCAACACAATCCCTAGATATTCAAAAGACAAGTACTGACCAAATGACACTTGCTTGCATTGATAGACATCTTTAAATAGAGCAGCTACACCTCCACCTCTCCTAACAGTCCTGCAAACACTCATGAAAGTAAAGTTAGGAGGGGCTGTTTCATTGAGGACCGTTGCACTGCAGCTGTCTTCTAGCCATGTTTCGTTTAGAAACATAAAATCCAGGTTGTTTGTGGTTATTAAGTCATTGATTAGAAATGATTTATTTTTTAGTGAGCGAATGTTTAAAAATGCTAACTTGATGGCATTGCATTTTGTCTCAACAGCAATATTAGTTTGATGCATAACAGGCTGCAGATTAGATGAGTCAGCCGTACGGCTTGAGAAGGCCTTAGACTTTCTATCACGTGATAAAACAGAAATCGATAAAACTACAGGCACACTGGGTTCCCGCTTGTTCTGTAAACATTTGTGAATGTTGCTGCTATTATAGCGGGGACCCGACACATATCACTGAGAGTTGTTATCAGGTGTTTTTGGTTCACCTACAGCAGATGGAGGGTTTGGGCCCTGGCGTTGTGGCAGCGGCCGGAGACCTCTCACAGGAGCTGGGTCCACAGGCTTCGGTGGTAGTGGGGCCCGCCGTTTTTTAGTTGATATCTGGGGGCTTGCAGCGAAAGAGTGGGAGAGTTTGGTCCCAGCATACACCAGTTCCTCCATTTTCTGTGAGAAGCTTAGAAGTGGAGATGCTGGAGAGAGGGATAATGTGTCTGGTGAGCTGGGCTGTGGCTCTGGTGTTTCTGGTGGCTGAAATATGTTGTCCTGGCTTCCCTGGCTGTTTTCCAGAAATTCGTCCTTGGGTGCTGAGTCTTGGAGCTGTTCTGATACGTCACAGTCTGTCTGTGAAGAGCTCTGTGGGCAGGGCTCAGCCGGGATAGTTTCCATGAGCAGTGCTTGTTGTTAACAAACATAACTGATAAATTAATGTAATCTCAGTTATAAGCAGTTTCATAAAGAAAATCGATAAACTATTCAGCAGTTGAACATTACCTCTTTGTGACTGTAAACTTTTTGAAAGGGTTGAGCGCACAAATTTATGTGGTGGTTCAGAGACCGGAGAAGCGCGCTGAGTCGATAGCCTATCTGAGGTGAGAGGGAAATGTGCAAATGTCGGTTTCTTTAACAAATAATTATATATTGCGGTTTGAACACATAACATGTTGCATATACACTGGTTAAGCAGTGCTGTATTTGTAATGGAGAAACCTAAAAAAGGTTATCACAACTTTTGAAATGTAGTTATGCTAGATGGGAATGTACTTAAGTGGCATTGGTAGTCAGTTGGTAAATTGCCTGATTCAAGTTTGCCACTGAACTAACATCACTTTAAAGCTTTGTTTGTTAGTGTGTTTTTTAAACCATGAACAACATGTGACCTAAACTGTGCAATGTCAATCAATCAAAAATCTGAAACAAATATATACAGTATATTAAAACTATTTTATTGGAAGGGTTGAAAGCTTCTTTTGACAGTCAAGCAAGATTCATTTTTCATCAAATAAAGACTAGCCTTTATTTTGTGTCTTTCTAATTTGAAATAAGCTCCATGACATCTTATTGATTCATTATGTGATATGACAAGATAATCAGTAGAGTCTCTGTATATCTATCTTATATTTTCTTGGCAATACAAAAATAAGCAGAATGATCTGAGCTGAATTTGTGCATGTCAGTAAGAAAATTTACAGAAAATAATCATTTAATTGTTGTTGGAACATAAAAAAAGCTTCTGTTATCATCAAGTACAATTTCTCAGACAACTCAGACACCTGAATTAGTAAAAGAGAAAAGACAGTGTGAATTTTGTATATTATATTGTGCAGGACAAGACAACATTTTGGATATAGGTAAGAATAAGTTTGTGAATCCTTGGAAAATATCCAGCTTTTGTTACTAAATTCAAGGTTTAACTTACTCCACCCTGTATTTAATAAAAATGCAAAAAGTAGAATTGTTGGGGTGTTATTAGTTCAGTCAGATTGTGTTTGTCTACAGTAAACAATGCAGAATTCCAAATATTTTCAAAGGCTTCACAATTTTCTTGCCATTGTATTTAACAAAAATATTTTATTGGTAGGATTATATTCTACCATTACATTAAATTTCAACAACATGAAATTTCACACATTTTTATACATTATCAGTTCTCACACTACATATATAGATAAGTTTTACTCTTAATAGATCTGCGATGAAACGTTCAGTAGTGAATATGACAAAATAATCAGTACAATCTCTATAATTTAATTGGTTAGACGACACATTTTCACTGCTGAGCTACTATCAAATCCAAATACAGGATAGAGCGGCTGAGTGAATGTGGTCTGGACTGTGTGGATGAGGCTCATTGTGTCAGAGACGCTGTAGAAGGACAAAATCCCTGAGGTGTGATCCACATACACTCCTATTCTCCTGCTGGACACTGCAGGGAGTTTAGTCTCTATGTTATTGTGCCAGAATGAGCAACATAAAGGAGAGCAGAACAAACTCCAGGACTGATCATTACGTCCAGCTACACTTTCAGGACCATTTCCCTTCCTCTTGATGCTCTTATACGTCACTGCTATATCCACTCCTAATCTCCCATCACCAGCCCATTCCACCTCCCAGTAACAGCGTCCAGTCACACTCTCTCTACACAACACCTCCCACCAATGTTCAAATCTGTCTGGATGATTAGGATACCGCTGACGTATTTTTGTGACAGTGATCACTGTGTTCCCCTCAGACAGGTGGAGTAAATTATGTACTGAGTTCAGATCCAAAGTCAACAGATGGGAATCTGATGGAGATAAATGTAAAACCTAAATTTATCAATCGCCATCAACAAGTATTCTATAAAAATGAATAGATTTAGTCACAATTACTGCACTCCTTCTCTTTGCTGCTATATTAATTAAAATGGTTCTGTAAATTCTGTCATCAATTACTCACTCTCATATTGTATTACGACTTTCTTCTGTGGAACATAACAGTCATATTTTGAAGAACTTTGGGGTCAAGCATTGGATGTCAACTGTACGGACATTTTCACTTTAAGAATTTGAGGTTTAATATCAATTTGCTTGTTATAGCAAAATTTATTATTTGTTAAAATTTGTTATAGCACTACTGTTTGTGAAGTGCCGTCACTGAGTTGTTACAGCGTACAGATACAGCTAATCCATAATGAAATTTGCTTGTGAATTTTAGACTTGTGTATGTTTTCATATTAACCTACATTGTAGGAACTCCTTCCTGGTCTGATATTCAGGAGTCAGAATGAGCTGAATGGATTTCACTGTGAACACCAATACAAATGTGTAATTTAATTCTCACACCAGAAAGAAATTAAACCTATTTATATTTAACAAATGAGAAAAAACAAATTCCTAGAAAAGTACCTCTTCCAGATATCTTGTCTGTCTCCTCACTGCAGAACTGCTGCAGTTTGTCTCTGAGTTGAGAGACGGATTTCACTACATCATCAAAAGACAGATGAGAAATGACAGTGAAGCCGTCTGTAGATCCAGAGAGAGAAACAGAAGACAAACTCTACAGACACAAAGACAAAAAGAGGAACTCTCTGTAAGTAGAGAAGTTTATTTAAAGTCCTCAGTCCTGTGTTAGAGAAGATCTGTGTTACCTGGATGAAATGAACATGATCTGGTGTTTCTGAAAGCTGCTTCAGTTCAGCGTCTGTCCTCTTTAGATCCTCAATCTCCTTCTTCAGTCGCTCCAGTCGTTCTTCAGCTTGACTCACTGCAGCCTTTTCCTGATCTCTGATCATCTGTGTCACCTCATATCGACATCTCTCAATGGAGCGTATGAGTTCAGTGAAGATGCTCTCATTGTCCTCCACTGCTGTCCGTGCAGAGCTCTGATACACAAACTCAATACAATCAGTTCATTCATTAGTACAGTCACAGTGGCTTCAATCAGACTGAAAGAGCTCCAGCACCGGAGGAAAGTCCAAACTGAGATTTCTCAAACTTTTCTTCTGCAAACTCACCTTATGAGACCTCACAGCCTTTCTCAGCTCCTGAAGATCTTTCTCTCTCTGCTGGATCATTTTTTGGATTTTTCTCTGCGTTTCCTCAAAATGTCTCTGCAGAAAACAGATATGATTAATGTTTTTTGTAAATAAATAATTTCTGCTGACCAGGGCTGTTTATTTGATCAAAAATACAATAAAAACAGTAATATTGTGTAATACTGAATTGTCAGCAATAATTTCCCATTACTCCAGTTCATTACTTCAATTTGCTACATTCTAATTTTCTTAGTCTGAACTTGAGTAAAACAGAAATATTAATAATTGGTCCCCCATCTCTAATAAAAAATAAAATTGATGTCTCTAGCTTTGACCTTGACGCTATTTCTATTTTTCCATCGGCTACTGTTAGAAACGTAGGTATTGTAAGGATTAAAGAAACTCAGATACTTTGATCTCCTGAGAAACAGACAATACAAACATACACGGGCATATTCGAGACACCCCACAGAGTGGAGGTGCTGGAGACTTCATTCCCTTCTGTCCATTTGTTTCATTTTAAATCCCTTCACCCATGCTTCCTTCAACTCAGTCTGCTCAAAATGATTACATGAAAATGCCAATGCAAGTGAACTAACAGTCATATCTGGTATCATTTGAAATGTCTCAGTGCAACTGGTACAATGGTCTCAATCTTAGAAAAGTAGACTAAAAGATAATACAGATCTTAAGAGTTAAGTAACATTAACGTTACCCAGTTAAACTTACCACAGCTGAGGCTTGTTTTTAAATCTGTTTAAGACTAACAGAAACAGGCTTGCTGCTTAAGGCTCATCTAGTATTTAGGATGCTGTTTCATTAAACACATCCTATATGTGTGATAATTTCCATCACCCCTTCGCTGCTACTCTCCTCCGGTAAGGGGCTTGCTGCTCTTAGCTGCTTATAAAAAAGAGAACCCCTTCTAGAACTACTATTTAAAGAATGGTAAGCATGGGCGACCTATTAAATAGTATTAGTCATAACCTCTGACTAATTATCAGACTTGCGAGTTTGTGATCGTGGGGCTCACGCAGAGCGGCCGCCGTGAGGCACCCGGAGCGACATAGATTCCTAATGAACGAGTAAATATAAAGTAAAGAGTTAACTAGAATAACCAAATGTCAGAATAATAGTAATAATTAGAGACAGACAAACAACCAATTTGCCTTTCAAACTAAATTCGAGGTCATACTAAAATGGAGTCAGATTAGAATTTAACTTAAAATTGAATAACTTTGCGCGCTGAAAAGACCGAACACGCAAGAAACCTTCAGCCACCACTGGATACCTTCCTTGGGCCAAGTGCGTGGACCTTACAGTATCATTCTAGACCCATCGCTGACCTTGGATGACCACATCAGCAAACTCTCCAAAGCTGGTTTTTTTCAACTACGTCGAATTGTGCAACTTCGTCCTTTCCTCAGTAGAAAAGATGCTGAATCATTAGTGCATGCATTTATTACCACCCGCCTTGACTATTGTAACGCTCTTTTCTCTGGTTTACCAGCTCACTCCATCGTTCGTCTGCAGTACATTCAAAATTCTGCTGCCAGATTATTAACTTCCACAAAAAAATCTGCTCACATCACCCCTATTCTATTTAATCTTCACTGGTTGCCTGTATCTATTCGTGTGCAATACAAAATTCTTCTGCTCACCTTTAAGGCACTCAAAGGTCTTGCTCCCTCCTATCTGTCCGTCCTACTTTCTTCTTATATTCCTTCTCGCGCACTCCGGTCTTCTAATTCTGAACTTCTTTGTGTACCTAGGTTCCGCCTATCTTCAATGGGCAGCAGGTCCTTTTCTGTTACTGCACCCAAACTTTGGAATTCACTTCCCCTGGCACTCAAAACAGTCACCTCAGTGAATTCAAATCAAAGCTTAAAACTTATTTGTTTAATCAACACTGTCACTCATTTACATTGTGTATTTGTCCGTTTTGTTTTCTATTTCTATGTCTTTACTACATAATCTGTGTTATACGCAACTGCATTATTTGTAACTGAATTGGGCAAATGTCCAATGAAATTGTTTCTTTGTAAACAATATTTGTTGTTTTGGTGTACCGATGAATAGAAAGTTCAAAAGTACAGCATTTATTTGAAATAGAAATATTTTGTAACATTATAAGTGTCTTTACAAACACACTTGCTCTGTTTGTATCTAGATTAAAGACACATCTCTTCAGCCAAGCATTCACATAATGAATCTCAATCTCAACATTGTTCCCAGTTAGATCAGATAAAAGTCACAAACATATTTTTGCTTGAAATGGTATGAACATCAGCTACGCTAATTATTTTCTATCTGCCTTTCTGTTTCTACCCCGGGATGCCCATCTAGAGGTATCTAGAGATTACACCAGTTTCAGCATGGATACAGCCTCATAGAAAGACTTCAGATGACCCAACACCTGTGAAAGGATGATGCTGACCCCTGCGAGGACCCCAGATGACGGCAACTTGAATCAACATGAACAGCTGCCAAAATTTCTCTATATTGTAATCATTATAATGAGCTTCTGCCTAAAATTAATTCATGTTAGCTAACTGTATGAATCTATTACCTTAAACTGTTCATTTGTGAAATTAACATTACTTGGACACATTCACTTCTAATAACAGAACATGACCTCCCATCATGTGCTCCTTCTACCGGGGCACCATTGAAAGCATCCTCACCAGCTGCATCAAAGTGTGGTACGGATACAGCACTGCATCCTGTCGAAAGACTCTGCAACGCATAGTGAATGCAGCCAGCAAGATGATCGGTGTCTCTCTGCCCTCCCTTATGGACATCTTCCACACCCGCCTCACTAGCAGAGCCATCAGCATCGCTGCTGATAGCTCACACCTGTTAAACCTCCACTTCAGCCTTCTGCCTCCAGGGAGAAGGTACCGGAGCCTCCAGGCTCGCTCCACAAGGCTTTCAAACAACTTCGTCCATCAGGCTGTCAGGAAGCTGAACTCTGTCCATTACCTCCCCCCCTCTTCCACCTACGCCTGAACTTTAAAAAATCTACAGTTCACCCCACATTTCTTTCATTACACACAGGACACTTTATATTCTCTGCACTTACAGACTTTACAGTCTTTTTGCACTAATGCCATACTACTGCTATCTGTCTTGTAGCTGACAAATGCCTTTATACTCAGAACTTCAAAATGTTTACATATTTTGGATGTATATTTGCACTTTACAAATTGTTTACATATATTTGGACGTATATTTATACATTAACAAAGTTCAATGTTTACATTTACTCATGTATATTCATTCAGAAGTTTTACAAGATTTATTTACTCAGTCTATACACTGAACAAAATTATAAACGCAACAATTTTGTTTTTGCCCCCATTTTTCATGAGCTGAACTCAAAGATCTAAGACTTTTTCTATGTACACAAAAGGCCTATTTCTCTCAAATATTGTTCACAAATCTGTGTTAGTGAGCACTTCTCCTTTGCCGAGATAATCCATCCACCTCACAGGTGTGGCATATCAAGATGCTGATTAGACAGCATGATTATTGCACAGGAGTGCCTTAGGCCGGCCACAATAAAAGGCCACTCTAAAATGTGAGCCTAAGGCACACCTGTGCAATAATAATGCTGTCTAATCAGCATCTTGATATGCCACACCTGTGAGGTGGATGGATTATCTCGGCAAAGGAGAAGTGCTCACTAACACAGATTTAGACAGATTGGTGAACAATATTTGAGAGAAATTGGCCTTTTGTGTACATAGAAAAAGTCTTAGATCTTTGAGTTCAGCTCATGAAAAATGGGGACAAAAACAAAAGTGTTGCGTTTATCATTTTGTTCAGTATATATATATATATGTTTAGTACAAGTACACTGCTGCTACCTTCATACAAAAATCAATTTTATATTGCACTGACTGCGAATATTATTATATTATTTTATACAAACTCCTATAGTGCATTGACAATGTAAACACTTGATGAGAGAGAAGAGAAACGATATTTTGATTCCTCTGTATGTCTGCACATATGGTGGCATTGACAAATAAAAAACCTTGACCTTGACCTTGAGATCACTCTAAATTGTTAAATTCAAATGAACTGCAGGAGCAGCAGCTTGGAGTCTCGTCTTCTTCAGTTTCTCCACCATTTCAGCAAACACCACATTCTTACCTAAAACTGGTCTTGTCGTAAAGGTATTTCTGCACTGTGGACATCTGTAGGTTCCCTTCCAATCCTCTTGATCCCAGTAGTCTGAGATGCAGCTCATACAGTAACTGTGTCCACAGGGAATCGTCACTGGATCCTTCAGCAGCTCCAGACATATTGGACACAAGAACTGGCCCTGATCCACTGAAATATTGGCTTCTGCCATTTCACTGTATGAACACACAGACAGACAGAGCACACAACATATGAGTTTAGAAGTGCACTATTTAGTGTTCCTTGGGTTTGGTCATTGAGTGGGATTATAGTGGTTCTCACATGTGTGACCAACTGATCTTTTGACTTTATTGAAATGAGCAAATGACATGTATTCTGTTTGTTAACATTTCTCATTCTTAAACTTTACTTTTGCAATCTCCATTTTCAAGGCCCCATATGGTTCAGTCCCAGAGATATGGCTCCACATCCAAATTGTTGAATTTTACCCATTTTATACGGTTGAACACCAAATGTGGGTCACTGATTCTTACTTTATTTAAAGAATGTATGAAGAACAAATAATATTGAAACTATAAATACATCTTGTTTCCTTCTATCAAAACAACTAGGGCTGCACGATATATCGTTTCAGCATCGAAATTGCGATGTGCGCATCCGCGATAGTCACATCGCAGGACATGCGATATTTAGTATACTGACCGTTATATTTATACTGATCGTTTTTTTGCTCACACACAGACACCGTGTCCCCGGACGAGGCATCTGTCGTATCGCACCACAGCTAAAGTCTGTCTACACTGGAGGCGACAAAGCGACCTTTACAAATCATCTGAACTGTCTGTCAGTAAGTCATAAATAGAACGCGGCATCAGTTTACTGTCGGGGATTTGTCGTGTCGCTCCGCGACGCATCCAGTGTAGACAGCATCACTGATTATAATGGGTTCTATAGTATTTTGTCACATCGTGCTGCTCGCGTCCAGTGTAGACATAGTGAGAGCCGCGCAGATGCACGTGAACTCTGAATTCCGTTCACTTCCACGTCTATTAATGACACATATACGTGCAAAATTATGTCAAAATGCATGTCTCTGCAAGTATCCTTGTAAACACAGTTGCTTAGGCTTAGGTGAAGGTAAACAATTGTGAAAGAAAATGGATGTGTGAGAAAATTTTGTAGCTTTAGATTTAATTTACACAGTGAAGACTTTGCTGTGTTATTTTACATTTGATTATTCAATTTCTGTACCTGAATACTGTTAGACTTACCTGAAAAATTTAAAGCACGGTTCATTTGTATCTTTGTTCTATTTATCTATGCTTGTAATTTGTTTATTTTATATGCTGATTTACTCGCCTACAAAATCACCCCAATCATTATTTTTTTTTATTTTCAAGTCATCTAGTGATTTATTTTTTTCATATTGCAATATATATTGCAGAAAAACAAAATA